GAGCATTTTGAATTAGGGAGAATAAAATAAAGATGACGACAATGAATGGGAAGGTGAGGCGGTCACTATCTTTTTCTTGTTACGTCATTAAATCACGTTTCCTACTTGATGAAAATCAATACCATGTTAACGATAAGAAAGAAATCAGATTTTCTTTGAATGTCATAGATCTCTAGTTATTCATTCATCACATTTTTACTCATCATTATAAGATTTTAATCGTCATTGATACTCGTCATTATTATATGCTCGCTAGTGACTTGCTACAGGACGGATGGAGTTTCTTGGAGCAATATTAGTGAGAAGCCGTGACCACAGTGAGGTCCATCTAGATGTCAAATGTGTGAGGATGGATGTCCCACCGATGAAATTGGTTGGTGCCTGTTGCGCTAAATGCATCACAAACTGGTAGAAGTTAGAATTCATGCGCACTGGCCATTGAATCGGGTGGGTCCTCGAGAGTGGCTGAATGGTATATTGGCCAGCTTGACTTGTAACCGGAAAGTAGGTCCTGGGTTCGAGCCCCTGTGGTGTAGGTGCGTACTTCCAATGATTTCCAAACTAAGATGACAAAACAGCTGTCCAGTACTCCCTATGGCTGGTTTTCAATGGTTCTCTAACTGATGTTCTCAATCCGTGGTCAAACTCGTTAAAAATATTATTGTATGTGGCTAAAGGTTTATAGTTCGAGTCCGTCCAATACAGAGTTTATATTGCACCTCATCTACTTATACATTTTAATTCTTATTGATTTATTTGTCACAAGAAATCAATAAAGAGTTGAGATAATGCTGCATTTCGAACAAGCGGCCAAATTCCTATCACCATCATCATACTACTGTGGTGGTGGTGGTGGTGTTGGTGTCATACAGACAATATATTCCAATAGAATATGATTCTCACATATTCCCACATTTCATATGTATATCAACAGCGGTTTGATTAATGGAAAATATACCTTGGCTTCTGTGTCTTGCCTTCTGTAGTTATACTACTGCTGTCAGTATTACAGTGAAGTTCTTTCGAAAAATCACCCCACTCTGTCTATTTAATATTATTTATAATCAAATTAGATAGTTGGAGGCAGTCGGCCACAGGAAGCATTGACTAGATCTATGGAGTTTCTTGCTAGTTGGCACTCACCAGTCAATAAGGCAAGTGTATCTGCAACCTTGGAAAAACTCATGCCCCCCCCACCCCAACTGAGATTCGAATCTGCGTCACCCAATGCTGCCTGCAGTCAGAGACGTTACCACCACTGAGCTATTTGGGCTGGCAATCGACCTCCTGAAGGACATCCAAGATTATTCAGCGGTTAATAATGACATCGCACTAGGGGGATTCCGTTAGACTGTGATTTTAAAATGTACAATTGTTTATAGGCAAGAGTCATTTGATCTTCTATAGCTACAAATCTACCATCTAAATACAACTAGCCTAGATTCCAGAGGTCTGAAACTGATCTGGCTGTGTTGAGTTGACATGAATAATAGGCAAAATTCTACAAATGGAGAAAAATAACCGTCAAGTTATTGAGGTCAACTCAAGTTATTTAGAAGAAGTACCACTTGTTGAAGTGTACTTATGTGTACCTGTGTGGTGGTATCTAACTAACCACAGCAGTGAAAAAGTCGATACTAGTCAAGAAAGTAGGGAAAGTGAGGGGAAAAAATCAGTAACTGAATAAACGATATGCTTCCATCCTGAACCCCAACTGCCTAGATAGATAGATAGATGGATAAACAGAAAATACACACGATGTCATATAAACATTCTTGAAACTTTTGAGATTTCTATCATACACTCCAGTCATCATGTCGTGTCATTTAGTTGGAGTTTGACGCGCACCCATCAGGTTGAATCGACAACTTCACCCACCCTAGTGTGAGAAAACTTGAACAGTTGGACAGTCAGTCAGTGCTTGTAGTAAACCGAAAGTTAAACAAGAGGCATTTATTGAAATGACCATTGGATTTTGGGTCTCTGGTTCGAGTCCTGCAGTCTCCCAGTTTTTCGTTTTCAATCCACCTACAATCATTACCTATCATTACATCATCTGAATGATTGCAAAGATATTTATTGTTTTCATCGTGATTGACTTTACATTTGTCATCATTCCTGGGCATTAAAAGGTAAAATGCAGTGTCGGTAACAATACTCGCATGCAATATATTGATTTTATCGATTTTTTGTGTTGTCTCTACTGTACCGATAAATCCTAACTATTAATCCAATATTCCCTTTACTTGAAAAATGTCGTGTGTCTGCGTGTTGCGTCATTTTGTATACTCAAAAGCCACTTATGAGTCCATACACAGTTGAGGATAAGTCCCACCTGCTGTGTGTGTGTGTGGGTGGGTGGCACAAGGTTCATTGCCATAATCTACAGATTAAAAGTTAAGTATCTAGACCAATGAGATACAACCGCCTCATTCTGTACAGAATTCACCATTTGTTGCTTTTCGGGTAGGGGACTGGTGGGAGACAACAGAAAGTGACTGAAAGGAGCCAAATAAAATTAGACTAAAATTTCCACAGTCATTAAACGTCTAAAAGACAGAGGAAACCAAGTAGAAGTGTTGGGAGTATAGAGGATAATTTACTGACACAATAGGCAAGCCCATCACGTGTCAAAAAAAGAAAGTGAATAATCCACCTTAGTAACTCTGTTTCCAGTCTCTTGTATCATGTTGTTGAGTCTATTGATTTTCAGTCCTTTGAGTTCTACTCTCATATTTTAGATTGTTTTATTATAACCTATTACCTAACTGTCATTGACTTACCCAACTGGTTCTCTAACTGATGCTATCAATCCATGGTGAAACTCGTGAAAACAAATTTGATTCCTACCAACCAAGTTTAAAATCCAAGTCAATAAAAAAAATGAGATGTAAACATGGTTACCGGGAGGCGCAATTCTATCAGTCATGGAAAAAATTTAAATCAGTTAACTTTATACTAAAAATTGTGCTGAAAGGGGATGTTCTCTCCAGAATAGGGGACGACGAAAGCTCTGCTGCAACTAAACCAACCAGCTCAGAGAGACACTACTTAATTACAAACCAAATAATGAAAATCAATCTGAGGCTAGCTAGTGACCACTAGCTACAGGACGGACAGAGTTTCTTGGAGCAATATTAGTGAGAAGTCGTGACTACAGTGAGGTTCATCTAGATGTCAAGTGTGTGAGGATGGATGTCCCACCGATGAAATTGGTTGGTGCCTGTTGCGCTAAATGCATCACAAACTGGTAGAAGTTAGAATTCATGCGCTGGCCATTGAATCGGGTGGGTCCTCGAGAGTGGCTGAATGATATATGAGCCAGCTTGCCTAGTAACTGGAAGGTAGGTCTTGTGTTCGAGCTCCTGTAGTGTAGGTGCGTACTTCCAATGATTTCCAAACTAGAATGATATCAATAATTTCTTCTTAGAAAAGACTTCGTTCACATAAAAAATCGATATATTGTAATTCTTTAAGATGACCTTAGCACCCTGTACATTTTATAACTCGATGTATCAAACAAAACAAGGTGAATGCAGTTGAAGAGAGACCACGAAATAAAAAATAATGGATCCATACTGTTCTATTACACACAACAAATAATCACTTAAAGATTTCGTACGTGGATGTATTTAAAAATATCTTCCTACCTGACTGCTCAAACTTCACTAAGTCACTACTACGGTCACTACGGTTAGGAGTCAGGCACTTAGATTAGGTAGCCACAGACTATTAGTGATAATATTACTGGAGTTTGAGTGTAATGGGTCCCATGTTCAAATCTTATCCAATCCACTACAGTCTAGACACAGTTGGATAGTAGCGTCAACTGTATCGTAGATATACAAAAGTCTGAAATGAATTCAAACACATTCCTTAGAAAATTGACAACCAGGATGTAATCATCTTGGTGATAAGGCGGTCTGCTTGAATCTAGCATAAAATATGACCTCTAACAGTGTTAATCGAGTATCGGGAAGGCAAGAAACACATCAACCTCATCAACCTGAAACAACCAATCTGGAAATCTTCGTCACTCAGCCAGAATCAACAACAAAACTAGGTCGGATTTTCAATACAAACAAACGTCAAGTCAGTCAATTCTTCTATACGGATCAGAAACTTGGCGGGTGGGTTACAAAGAATATTTCCAACAGCCTGTTGCAGACCTTTATCAGCCAACAACTGTCTTCGCTGGCTCTATACTGAAGATCAATCAGATGGCCGGGCCGGAAAGAATCACCAACTATGGGAAAGAAACTATGGGAACAAATAAACAAAACAAGAACAAACCAATCGCCAACCAACAAATATGCAGGAGAAAGTGGACAGAAGAGTGGATTGGACACTACTCGCTGAGGAGACCGGACCGCTGTGTGACATCGTGCGCGCGTCAGGTCATTTCTCGAGTGGAACCAGGCCGAGAGGGAAGCGGCGAGTGGGATGTCAGTGCAAGACTGGGTGACATGGAGGAGATCGCGTGAAGAGGATTTGAAAGAGTATGGACTAACTAACATGGGGGGTGCAGGTGAAAAGTACAGCAGAAGCAAGACAGAAGTGGCAAGTGGAGACGTGCAGTGTTATATACTCTAACGAGTATTTAAAACATTTACAACCTATTGATTTGGAAGTTTTATTAATTATCCAGCTCGATGAATGGCAGTTTTATCCCAGATAATCGCTGCTGAGAGGTGTTCGTGGTTGACAAACTGTTGGTATTCAACTAAATGTCGTAAAGTACCCCGAAGGAGACAAAGAAAGATATTTATAATGATGGATTGGTTTGTGCCTCAGGTCGGAAAGAACTGTGTCAGACGATCTCTATCGTCAATCAGATCTTTAATTTGAAGATCTTGGACGAAGAGCAATAAACTCCGCTGAAGAGTCTGTAGATTTTACCAACACCCTTCAGAATAAACCTATCATTACTCATTACTCCTAGCCCTATAAACATTTAAGAAAAACTAAACCAAAGAAACTGATGTACCACGGGAACTTACTTTTCACATTTGACTGTTTAACAACTTGTTTAAAATGTTCTTTCAAATTGTCACCATACTCATGTGAAGAACTGCTGTCCCAGAGAATCCTTCCATTCCACCATTCATTGACATATTGATTAGGAAGGCGTGTTCTCGTATTACTGTCGTCAGACAATGATGGTTCATTATTATTATTATTATTATTTCGCATACTCCTTTTATCCCGCACTGAGCAACAACCATAATAATAATAATGTTTTATGAAATAATTTTCCAGATGATGAAATGTTTTCAAATCAGTATGTTTTCCTGATGATACTAGAGTTTTCAAATTTTTACGAAAACGTAAATAATTGCTAGTCATATGATAATCCATACAACGAAGATAATGATTTAATCGTTTAATCCAATATTTATTTTTTCTTTGTGTAAATTTATGTTTATGCCTTGTTTTTCGAAGTGTTGATGTTGTCGGCTGATGATGATGACGACGATGGTGATAATTCGACGAATGATCCTGATGAGTGTTATTGTTGTGATCATTTTGATTGAAGGTACTATTCAGCATTGTGATTGACAGTCGATCGCATAAACAACAACAATAACAAAATGCGAGAATAGGCAATGCCGAATTCAATTTATATGGACTCAACAAATTGTGTGTACATCTAACTATCTATGTATACCTGTGTGTGTGTGTGAGTGCGTGCGTGCGTGCGTGGGACAAATAACCGTTTCCACAACTTATTTTTTATAAATGATTATCATCCTCTCTGTGTGAAAGCCATAATCGGGGGTGGGGGCGGGGGTGAGATAGCATAACATTTCCACAATCTCTCTCCCCCTCCCCCCTTCGCCTCTGTATATTTGATTTTAAACATATGTGCGTGCGTGTGTGTGTGCGCGTCCGTCATGTACGCGTGTGTCTGTATCCTCATCACCACTACTTCTAATATTCATACTACTAATAACGCTAATCATAACATATATTGAATATAATATTATAATATAATATATACATTTTTTAAAAATTCGTATTATTCTTTAGAAAATAACTTGTTCTAATGCATATAATTGACGAATAGGATAATAGAGAATGTCGATAATATGCATGTCTTTTTTCGTGTAAATTGACCAATCAAATTCACTGGAGTGGACATCCCTTTCACTACTTTATTATTATGGTCAGTCAGTTAGTTAGTAAGGTCTATTGACAAACACAACTCACACACACACACACAAATGAATAAAATAGCTAGAATAAGGGATTGAGAAGAGAGAGAGAGGATTAGTGAGAGGATAGGTAGGTGAGCAACACTTTTGTTAGCTGTGTGTCTCAATTGAAAAAGAATCATGCTCTATTTGAGTATGGCAATATTACAAAAATGACAATAATTTAATTGGTATTCCTTTACATTTTCAAGTATTAGATTTTGTAGGGATTTTTCTTAAAAACTTGTTGGAGGAGGATTTCATCATGAGCTGATATCAGTTAGAGAACTATTGGAAAACCAGTTAGCTGTTTCGTCCTAGTGGGAGACACTTCATCAGTACCACATACGTTCATTATATCATCTTTACTTTTTCCATACTGGTCTTATATATGTATGCGTGTCTGTATGCCTATCTATCTATCTATCTGTCTATCAATCTATTATTACCAACGCTTGAATCTATTATTAGACGGAAAGTAACACTATTATTATTATTATTATTTCCTTTAATTCATAGAGGAATATAGGGCTTCAGCTACGCATCTCCATTGCCTTCTGTTTTCTGCAAACTTTTTCACCCCGCTCCAAGTCTACCCACACGCTTTCATCTCCTCTTCACATGACCTCCTCCAAGTCACCCTCTCACTGATGACCAACTCAGCGCTTCCCTTTCGGGTTCCACTCGAGCGACGGCTTGTCTAGTGATGTCACTTGATGGTTTCCTCAGCGTATGGCCAATCCATCTGCATTTCTTACTGCCTATTTGTTTCACAATCGGTTCCTGCTGAGTTGGTTCACTCATTACCAGAGATCGTTGTTGCTGATGTTTTCTGGCCAGCCATCTGATCTTGAGTGGTATTGAGCGAAGACAGCTAGCTGTTAATGAAGGTCTGTAGTTTGTTTGAGATGCTCTTCACGACGCGCAGTGCAAGTCTCTAATCCGTATAGTAAGTAGCATTGACTTCACATTGGAGTTGAAAATCCGGATCTTATTTTTGATGCTGAGTGCTGTTGACCTCCACACAGATTTGAGAGTAATGAAAGCTTGTCTTGCTTTTCCGATTCTTGCTTTGATATCCTCGTCAGTTCCGTTCGCCTGTAGTTGAAACGATGCTTCCCAGGTGGGTGGGTAAAGGAGGTTGTTTCTTTCAGATTCCTCCCATTTATGCTGACTGTTGTTTGCTGTTGTTGTTGTTGTTAGTGTTGGCCAGGAATCTTCATCACCCCTCTTTTATCTATGTTCACCTGAAGACCTATCTTTGATGCTTCTTCTGTCAACTTGTTGCTTTTCACTTGCATATCTTCCAGTTTGTGGGAAATCAGATATATATCATCGGCGGAGAAGGTAGGTATCTCGACAGACGTCTTAGCAAGAGTTTTTTCTTTGAGATGAAATGATAGCTTGGAAGAAAATCAATAAGGTGGTTCAGTGTTCGTTTTCAAAGACAAAACATTCTAGGGCGAGAGATGGAGAATCTTTGTGTAGTGGAAAATCTTAATTTAAAAGTCTTCCCTATAAGATTGGTACATAAGGGCACCTGTCGGTGCACCACACATACAAAACCTCATAGTTTATGTGAGGGCTAGGCTACTTCCTTGGATGCCCAAACCAAAGCAGGAGAGGCCACCCACAAGGCAGTGGAACAGCGTCAGGAGCTATGTTCCCAGTGGTTTCCAGCGATCGAAATAGGTTTGCACACCAACTGATCGTCTCGGATTGGGGAATCCATGTACATCATAAGTTTGGAGTCATGAATATCCAACTCCCCTATAGACCTGGGTGTCCACCAATTCGGGTTGTAAGAACCAAATGTGTAAAAATACGTCTTTTCATTTTTGTGAAGAACATACCCTGTCACATGAAAGCAGTGTATAAGACGTGCATGACCACATGAGTTGTAGTATTTCGAGGGAGGGGTTGATCAAAGGCTGCCCACCCTCGACCGTACCAGGTCGCTTATGAGGGTAGAATAAGATAGATATAATTTAAATAATTTTTTAAATTTTATTACCAATCTATTTAGTTGTCAACTGGTAGTCTTGAGATATAGGACGTCCCCATTTTGCCTTATTTCGGATCGGTCTGAAGGATCTGCTTGGACTCTGAGGGTTTCTATTGATGTTAGCCCACTTAGACTTACATAGGGTATTTCGAATGAAATTTATGAATCAACAACTAATAAAGTCTGCATATTAACTTCATCTGTCAAATGGCTGCCACTCTACTCACCCCCCCCCCAGTGCAGACTAGTACTGACAGTAGTACGGAAGCAAGATAATAAGGGTGACAGGGATAGAGAAGAATGATGATGATGATGATGAGTGCTTCGTGTGTTGCTTTGGGAAGTATGTGGGCGGTTGTTACTTCCCAGCTGCCTACAACGTGGAAGTTGATTTATTTTCAGGGTGTTTGAAACAGAAATAGAATAAGTGTTGAGTGACAGCACAGCCCAGAGGAAAACTGCTTGAGGCCAGCCGGTCACACACAGCCAGTCTCAACTGGCTTTCTGGTTTGGTTCCGTATTAGTAACTTAAAGTCGGCTACGGATCAACGTAGGTGGGATAAGTCGGGATGCATAATTTTGGGGGTTATTCTTTTGTAACCCCCTCTCTCCAGCAGAGTGGAGAGATAGCATAGCTGGCTGACATACTGGTCATCTGAGGTAAACACCTTATTGCTATCACATCCCTGTTCCCCATGACGTCGGTCAGTGAAATCTACGACAGTTAGTTTAAACCAGCCATCCATGTATGGGTGTGTAGGCTTCCTGATTGGTTGGGATCCTCGGAAGGTTAAAAACCAATAAAGTCTAGAGTCAATTGGTGATATGGGTCAAAATCGTTGTCAATAATGGCTCAGATGCATTCACTCTTTGTGAATAATAATATCCAAAACAACTAACTCTATTGTTCTTCCATATTACTATTCTTTTTGCCACATATTATCTCCCTGTTTCGAATCTCTCTTTACTCTCTTCTCTTGCTGTGTGTACTACAAGGAGGAAGTGTGGCAACTCGAACTATTATACATCTGTAAAAAGTTCTAAGCTGAAACCAGTCAGACAAACTGAAGGTGTAGTAATGCGACGGATCATCAATATCCCCTATCGTAGCAGATATCTTTATGGACAGTTGAGAAAAAATTGCTGTAAATACATTTAATCCTACACCAAAACTTTGGTGGAAATATATGGATGACACTTTCACAGTGTTAAAAAGCGAACCTATCTCTAGCTACTTGACACATGTGCGTCGGTGGCACAGTCGTTAAGACTCTTGCCGACCATACACATGGTCTGAGGTTCGATCCCCCTGGCGACGCACACCTGATATCTATGGTCGGCTAGCAGAATTTGGCCTACCGATATCCATGCTGAAAATTCCATACAGTGTGGAATCAAGCTGTAATCAAAAATAAATAAAAAATTTTAAAAATTATATCAAAACTAACCATTTTCTCGTTATTCTCTAATTAAATGTTATTTAGTTTCCTGTTCATTTCATATGACTCAATGCAAATAAATACCAGAGATATGGAGGATATTATTACCACCAGTCTGTCAGTCAAATCAGAGGAGGATAATAAATAATCTCAAAATTCTATTTCAAGATCATCACAACATTCTAAAAAGTCACTTATTTTGATTATAAAAAACACTCGTCTTATTTCGTATCTGATTGTAATTGATCAATAACACTCGTATTATTATTTCTGAATGTACTTTATGTTGTATTGTTGATTTTATTCAAATGTCTAATCATCAATTCCTGCTCATGTATATAAATGAAGCAAGAAAGTTGTGTGACTAGTGACTTGATATGGTTATGAGCAGTGATAAATTGTGCTAGAAACGTGGTCATATATTATTATTATTATTATATCCTTTAATTCATAGAGGAATAAAGGGCTTCAGCCGCGCGTCTCCATTACATTAGGTTTTCTGACAATTTTTTCACCCCGCTCCAAGTCTACCCACACGCTTTCATCTCCTCTTCACATGACGTCCTCCAAGTCACCCTAACCTCGCACTGACGGCCAATTCGCCGCTTCCCTTTCGGATTCCACTCGAGCAATGGCTTGTCTAGTGATGTCACTTGATGGTTTGTTTTCTCAGAGTATGGCCAATCCATCTGCATTTCTTCCTGCCTATTTGTTTCACAATCGGTTCCTGCTGAGTTGGTTCACTCATTACCAGAGATCGTTGTTGCTGATGTTTTCTGGCCGGCCATCTGATCTTGAGTGGTATTGAGCGAAGACAGCTAGCTGTTAATGAAGGTCTGTAGTTTGTTTGAGATGCTGTTTATGATGCACTGGCCAAGTCTCTGATCCAAGACTTCATATGATTATGAACAG